TGAGTTGGCCACACTCACCCAAGAGAGATATGGGTAGAGGGACCAACGGAGAGAAAGCTAGTCAAAACTACCGATACAATAAAATATATACCGCTATTAAAGATGGAGAGTGAGATTTATCCCCAGTGGAGTCGCCATTTTTGTTTTGATTAAAAAAAAATATATAGTTTTGAAAATGTATTAATTTTCTTTGGGAATATTTTTAATTTTGAATTTTAAAATTGAACGCGTCATTATGAACAGTATATCACCTCGGGAGATGATCATATCGTTCCCTAATGGGTTCAAATTTCAGAATCTCAAATTTATCCGGATTATCGTAGTCAAACTCAAAGGAAGAATCACATTTGACACCGGAAGATCAAAATGGAATTTAATCAATTATTTGACTACGCTAATTTGGATAAATGATCATTAATTTCATAATCAAAATCACGATAGGAATTGATATATCAATCTGAGGAAAGAAATTATCAATCACTATTGATCGTTTGAAAATGATAAAAATAATCGTTGAATTTAAATTTCCCAAAGAGAATTAATTAGAGTTTTTGAAAAATTGGTCTTAAAAATCAATTCTGGGTTTCTAAATCTCCTACGAGCGCAAGTCCTCGTAGTTAATTACATCGTAGGGGAATTGGATTTCTCCTACGAAAACTCTCGATTAAAATAACGGTAGAAATTTTATTTAAGATTTTCAAAGATCGATATCAAAGGAGGAAAAGGGTAGGAATTTTCAAATGGGATTGGTTCAATGTTGAGCACTTATTTCTGAAGTCAAATGAGGAGAAGTAGGAGGTGCTTTGAGATTCTGAATTTCTTCAGAAAACACCTCAGCCTATCCTAAGTGTTGGGCTTGAATTTGATTGAAAGCGATTTAAGTTTGAATGGTTAATTTTATTAGAAAGTTGGGACTTATATTCTCGATCACCAGATCGGGAGAATGCCCATAACTTTCAAAATACTCAACGAAATTGCATGAAATTTGAACTGTAGCTAGAGGGCAATATGATCTAACAATTCCTGGAGTTTGGAGGCTCCATGCATTGTATATTTGCTACAGTTTCAAATTGAAATTTAAACTAAAAACGCGAATAACTTACAATCCAATCGTCGGATTTTTGTGTTCTTAGGCTCGTTGGAAATCTGCAGTGATCCTCTACAACTCTTATGAAGACACCAAGAGCTGGAAAGTTATCTTTGAAACTCCTCTTTCTCTCTCTAGGTTCCTCTCTCTTCACCAATGAGACTTTGGAGGCTTGAATTCGGTGGGGGAAGGCTTGGAAGTGCTAGAGGAAGATCTGGAGGAGGTTTTTGAGGGATGGATTCGCTTTGGATCAGAGAGATTGAGTTAAAAATGGCTTAAGGTTGAAATTGGCTTAATTAAGATATTTGCTCTATTCCCTTATCTCTAGGTTAAATGGATGGTTATGATCAACTGAGGGAGTGTCTATGATCAAGCCATCTGTCCAAAGAATTAATGGGAGCAGGTGGGAGAGCACATGGCAAGGACCTTAGGTGTAAAGGTCTTTTTATCCCCACATGATCAAATGAAAGAGATCCAAGCCATTGGATGTTGATCTAAGGGCTGGGATAGGGTCTAGGAAGGTTCTAGAGTCCACTTGAAATGCTGGATGGGCTTGGGTTAGAGGGGTTCAAATGAATCACTTTGGGTCATAAAGGCCTATTGGGCCTTTAATGGGCCACTAAGCCAAAATTGGTTGTCTTGGCCAAAATGACTTGGGTTTGACTTAAAATGAGTTTAGAAATATTCAAGACATTGAATTGAATGAGTTTAAAAGTTTAAAGGCATTGATCCAGCTAAATGGGTTGAAATGACCCATTTGAACTCTTAAGGGCTCATTAGGTCAATCTTGGTTGACTTGGTCAATAAGGTGGGTCCAGGGTCTGGAAATGAATTTAATCAATTTGAAATGATATTTGGAGACCATTGAAGGTGGTCCCGAGGTCTGGGAGGTCAATTCAGTCAAAATGCCCGTTTTGACCCTTAAAGGCCTATTTGGTCAACCTAGGTTGACTTGGTCAATCAGGTTGACCCAGGGTCTGGGTTTGGGTTGAACAGGTTTGATTTGATATTTGAAACTTGCTGGAAGTGGTTCCAAGCAATTCGGAGGTCGTTTGGTTTGAAATCAATGTTTGAGTCCTTAAGGAGTATTTTGGTCATTTTGACCCTGGTCAACTGGGGGTCAAAGTGAGTCAACTAAAATGCAGTTTAATGTTCAATGAGTCATAATTAAGGGTCTGAAAGTGACTAGAGGCTCTGGTGAAGGCTCTATGGTCAAAATTCACCAAGTGGCAAGTCTAGTGGCATAGGCTGTAAATATTTAAAGGTTTTACAGCCTTTGGATTTTGATT